TATTAGCCGTAGCGCCGCGCCGCGGGCCGCTTCGAGCGGGACCCCGGGCTTGCGGCTCGGTACGTTGTTGCGTCGGCCAAGCCGCAGCGACCGCGCCGGCCGGCCGTTGCATCGGCTCCAATCTCAAGGCATCTGGTCTAGATTCCTGGTTTCAACTATATCCGAATCGAATGCCGCGCGGATCCCGCAGTCGCCTCAATATGCCCGTTCGATTGTGTTATCGCCCTATAATTCCCCTCTATCTCTATTATAACTCAGTGGCGAAGCGTGAATCATCCCATTGGTATTTCCTCGTTGGACGCTATAGTAAAGAATCGATTGCTCAGGTTTTTATTGCCAACACCCTAATACTCGATCACTATCCATTGCTTCAAATGGCAGATCAATCGATTCATCGCGAAGCACGAAGCGCCGGTGTTAAAAGTGAGCGTTCCAGTGCTCTCAGTCCACGGTATACGCAGACATAAAAATTCCCCGTGCCACGGAGTGACGGAGACGCCCCCATTTGACCCAAGGATCAGAGGTTGCGAATATGGAGTTCCTTCATACAGAGAAAGTCTGGCCAAGAGACAAGGGGCCCTCCTCTGGCCTCTTGGTGACAGGTGGAAACAGAGACAAGAGACTTTACTTTCGGGACTTCAGCATTCTACTGTTTACTTACCTACAAGGTTGATGTTTAACAACGTGTTGGTAGTTTCGTTTTGCAAACAAGTCGAAAATGGCCGAAGTTTGTGAAACTTGTTTGGCTCATGACGTCACCCGGAGCTCATCATCGACCATGCAAGTAGGTCAATTCCCGAAATTAGGGTGATGACTGATGCTCCCTAATAATTGTTCATAAGGAACTGTTGAATCCCCGAAAGTAAAATCTTCCCCCTGTCGCTAGGAGGCCAGTGGAGGGTCTCTTGTCTCTGGGTGGAAACTTTTATTTTCGGGGATCTAACACTTCCTTATGGACAATTCAGTAATCGTATCCACTAGGTGGATGATGAGCTTCGGGTGACGTAATGCGCCAAACTTTGGTATCTTTGCCAAACAAAATGCTTAAAACGTTGTTTAACATTCACCGAAAGTTCCATCCGTTGAAAGTTTCAAGATGCTATGATAATTAGTTTTTTTTAATGACAAAAATGGGTGAATCTTGAGAGTTAATTAGGCAGTACATTAAATGCATGCAGAAAGTATTTAAGTTTTTTGTTTCTACGAGGGCCGCAGGAAGGTTTGATATTTTGCGGGAAAACGCGCGAAAATCAATTTTTATCATCGTAACGTGACTTATTCAGGGTGGAGTAAAAAGTCCGAATTGAGCGTCGGCTAGATCCCATATTCGAAAGAGTCGAGGGCAGAGCTTTGAAAGCTTACTCGGGAAAAAACTTGAAATGGATTTTAGATTATACTTCACGAGAGCAACAATCTTTCTTGCTAGGCCGCTTTTCACCTCCTTAGTACCTTTTGAATTTTTTTTATCGATGTATCCTGTCAGTATCCAAAAGTCGTTTAAAATGTAAATCGAATTTCCTGCTTCATTCAACATAAAATAATAAAACGACCCTAAAAAGTCATAAAAATTGACAAATCTGCGCGGCAGTACAGTATTAAACTTTCGAAATAACCAAAATAAAAATTAGCTGAAACGTCAGAAATCTATTCAGAACGCTCTGAGAGAATTGAAATTAGTGCGGATTTATGCATTGTATACATTCGTGGCTCAGTTTTATGGTAGGATTTTTATATAGGTATAAATAGCCACCTGTGTTAAACCTCCTAATAGGGCCCCGCCGACAGATTGACGGTAAAATACATTCATTTGCCTAACTGAAATACACTGTGTGGAATTTGAAACTTTTTGGGCGATCTGACACGAAAAGGCACTTGTCCGATTCGATCGAAACAACTTGTTTCAAACGACAATCTTTGTTGGTCAGCGCAGCTTGGACAAGGGATCCACAATAATAAAATGTCATACATCACGAATTACGATCCTCTCGGCTTTAAATGGCCATAAAATATTTATGGCTTGCTAAGGTCCGGTCTTAATTTTGCAGGGCTGAGTCCGAGAGGTTGGTTATCTCCGTCGAGGCTTCAAAACCATGAGCAGGGGAGGGGGAGGGGCGGAGAACTGGAGGTTTTTCTAATAATTTTATCGTTAAACGAGACATTAAACATCGGCAAACAAATAAAAGTAGAGCCTTAGTTGCCGATGCAAAAAATTCGAGGTGCATTGTCGCAATTTGCGATGGATTGTTGACTGAAGACTGGCACGTGGATCGCGGCATCATCTTAGTATGCCGCGCCTTCCTATGTCAGATAATTGGATGTATTTAAATGAAAAGAAATGGTCTCAGCTGTGACCTGGGCCATGAGATCTATAAAAATTCATACAGGACAGGGCCTATGTAGAGATAGTTCCTATTGATCGAAAATGCCCACGTAAAAGGAGCTTTTCTTGTGTCAGAAAGGGTGCGTGATCGTTGATTCGGCTAAATCTATTATTATTACTTCTAAATCTATCTAAATATATTACTATTAAATCATTATTACTTAAATAACACAGGTATACACAATTATGTACATGTATCTCGAAACACGCCGGAATCACCCTCATCACGTATGTCTTCGGCTGGAACTACTACTACTGCGTTACTACTTTTACTACTATTTTATATGAGCCTTATGGGTCACGCGCGTTACTCTTACGATTTTATATTACAGAGTAAGATTTAGGTTTACACCCTTAAAGAAATCCTACACGAATATCTTCCGATATGGCACCAGTGCTGCTCATTCGGTAACGATGAATAGACCTGCACCGAGTAGAAGAGAACTGTTGAGCAGGGAGATCCGACATGATGGGCTTATTACTTTTTAATCCGGCCATAATATGTGTATCAGATTAAGAGGCCACTCCGGATCCCCTGTCATGAATTGGGAATAAAGACCTCCTCGAGTCGTAAAACTCTATCTGAATCCAAAGTGACGTCAGACGGGGACCGCGTCCTGGATAGTTTCCGATGCAGCGTTTGCTCGTGCCTTCCGCACGGAGTCACGATAATTCTACCTGCATTTCTCCATTGGATATTAAATTTATTGGAGTAATCAAGCGGACCTTCTTGAGAGAGGGGAATCTCTGTAATAAGGTGACTGGCTATCGACAAGGAGGAAAAGCCTCGAGCCCCGCGATTTTGGTTTGGTGAGATCGTAAAGGGTCGCTTGGTGCACTAGAGAAAAAAAACATTGGATTTAGAGTCCAGACTCTTGAAAATATTGACAAGAAAAAGGACTCTTGATTCAATCAGATTGAAACTTAAATCAAAAGGAAATCCGCTCAAATTAAGAGACTTGGTTCTTCATTTAAGCTTAAATCTGATCGAATCAAGAGTATTTTTTCTTGTCGATGTTTATAAGAGTCTGGACTCTAGATACAATGTGTTTTTTTTCCAGCGTATCTCTCTACGTAAAGTCTATGATCTCCTAAAATTCAAGATAGTGATCAAAATTTCTCATATTTTTACTCGTGGACCGCGTTAAGCAGAAAGAAACCAAACCATATCAGCTATTGTCAAATTTAAGTGTGTAATTTAATTTTTAAATGAATACAGTTGTAGGGCCGGGTTTACCTACTTGCCGCCCATGGGCCGCCTGTATTTTGCCACCCCCTTCTCATTCGTTTCGAAACATCAATAAAAACTATCAAGTGAACGTGCCGGAGGGAGAGGGGTGCATAAGCCGCGTTAACTCGTGTTGGACACAATTTTTGCGAAAGCCCTGTCAAAACCACTAGCAAAAATTCACGGAACTTTGCGCGAAGTTTCGTAAACCTATCTCTGTGTGGACAAGGCCCTCCATTTGTAAGAAATGAGCAAAAACATTATGAAAGAACAAACATAAATGTGGTTTAATAATTTTAACTTCCACCGCCGTGCACCGCGCCGCGCTAATCGTACTGTGTTTGGCGCAATGCGTGAAGTATTCCCACAGTCTTGTAGGCGCTATGCGTTTCGCGCCGACGCAACCGCTGCTGAACGCACTGTGTTTGACGCAATGCGTGAAGTATTCATGCAGTCTTGTAGGCGCTATGGGTTACTCGTTGACCGCTTCTGACAACGTTGTGTTTGACGCTACGCGTGAAGTATTCGCACAGTCTTGTAGGCGCTAATATGTGTTACATGCCGACCGCCGAGTCGAGGGCTTTTCCTTTTCATCTCAAGTCCTCGTCATCATTGCTCTCTACGCCGCGCCGCTCCGGGCCAAATTGCATGTTTGGTTTCTCTCAGATAACTCGACTAAATAAAGGTGCTATCTCTTATAACACCACAAAATGACAAAATTATGAAATAACTATACTCTCAGGAAATGAAATATTTTGTCGCCCTTTCTCGTCTCTAATTGTTTTTTAAACCTACATTTAAAAAGAAATGCAGAATTTGCCGCCCCCCTAAATTTGCCGCCATTGGCCACCCCCTAAATCCAGCCCTCTACGGTTGTGCGGATTTTGTGCAAATTTCAGTGAATTTTCTGCATTGCAAAAAGCAAATTCCTTAAAATTTCATAGGAATCCAACTGTTTGTGCCGTTAAATATGCGCCAGTTAAAATAATTACATAGAATGATCATTGCAATAATAAGCCTGTCATCAGTAATTATTAAATTGGTAACTTCACATGAATTTTACATAGCAATATAGCAACGACGAAGGTCCGTGGGGATCACATCAAGTCGGTGCTAAATAATTGAAGATGCACTCGTGAAACAAGTGTATCAAGGCTTTCATGTTTTCAGATGCATTCAGCAGGTTTTACTAGTTCTGTGATGCAAGCAAGGCGTTAATTATTTCGCTTCGATAACTGACCCAACCGTCATGAAAAAGTCAACTGTTTTGCATAAAACCGTACGGGAATCGAGCGGTCTATTTTTAAGATTCACGACGCCATAGTGCCGTTTCACCGTACGTAAATGTATCCCTAAGTGATTTCATTAGTGGAATTCTTTCTTTTGTTTTAGGGCTGAGGAATGTATCATGACTTAACTCAAGAGGAGAGGAGGTCCAATCGATGCGGTTCTAAAATACAGGGAGGTAAGATGTCTTTTTAATTTTTTCAAATTTTGATTTGTAAGGTAAAAGTTTGCGTTAAGGAACCATAAACAGGTAACTTTTCCTGCAGATTAAGAACTCTTTAGGTTGCTTCAAAGTTTGCTGTGCTAAGAAAAAACGCCGTATGAACCTTCGGGCGTTGCCAAATTTCCTTTGATAAAACATGAATTCCTTGGTAAACTTATGAATATTTTCCTCACATTTTTTCAGATAATTTTGTTTGCAATTTTACCTAAAGATTTTGAAAATGCAAAGGAAAAATGTTCATAACTTTCCTCAAAAATAAGCATTTTATCGAAAAAAAGAATTGGTAACTCTCGAATGTTCATACGGCGCTCTTCCTTAGCACGGCAGTAATGCAATATCGACTGACGTCAGACTAGATCGGGTGAACGCGACAATGATCCTTGATTGATCGAAACCCCGCGGACCCGACTTTTTTTCACAAATCCGACATCAACGTATCTCTGAGCGATTTCCATCAAAGGCAAAAAGAAGAGCGGAGAGCATCATTAGTTGGAACCTTCCTTGCATAATAATTCCACGTAGCGTGCGGTTTCTAATGTATGTATCGGAGATCTCCTTGCATCTCTCCCGAGCCCCGTTCAGCAACTGCGCCGACTCCGAAGCAGGGCAACTTCCATTAGGTTAGGATCGGATCGGCCCGAAACCTGCACTTGTCAAGGCCGCTCGCACACCGACACCGACACCGGCCGACCGCAAGCGTAGACAGTGACAACAGAACATTCAACGGGACAACGGCTGCGTACGCGTCATCGTGCACTGAACCCCGGTCCCGTGCGTGTGAAATAGCCGCGAGGACTCACGTGACTAGTTCTGCCCTTGCCCTTGCCCAAGGATAAGCGATCAGAGCCACTAGATCAGAAAGATGATGTACGGTAAGAGGCTTACGCTTATGGACAGCATACCGTATTTTCTCCAGTTACGGAGAGGAAGGGGCATGTTTCGGCCGGAGGGGGAGGGGATCTTGCAATCTTTCTACATTAACGGAATCGATGACTGTCTTCGAGATCATACCCGAGTGGAGCTCGCGTGGGAAAAATATAGCTGTCGTATATGTTGTCGTATAGGACTGGATTACCAATTTTCAGACGAAAAATTTGGGAAAATTACGGGGTTGAATGCGTGCAAGGTTAGAATAAGAGAAAGGGGAGGGGATCTTGCAATCTCTCAACGTTTACCGGAATCGATGACTGTTTTCAAGATCATGCCCGAGTGGAGTTTGCGTGGGAAAGATATAGCTGTAGAACTGCTTGAGTGCTTGGGTTGTCGTATAGGACTGGGTTACCAATTTTCAGACGAAAATTAGGGAAAATAAGGGGGTTGAATTCTTGCAAGTTTATAATAAAAGAGGGGGGGGGGGATTATTTTGCCTATATTTTTAGTATCTTGGATGTGCGTGTTGCAATTTAAAACATTGAGGGTGTTTCCGCTTAACGAAGACTTGACTGAGTTGACTGTAGCGCCTTGATGCAACTATTCGTGTTCTACGAATGTGCGTGTTGCATGTTCAAAAATTGAAGGCACTTTCGCTTTTCTCACTTCTTCAAAGATGAATGGGACTGGTCACTTGTAGCACTTTGATAACTGAGTACTTACCTATATAAGGAGAGTATTGACAGTTAGTGACACAAGGGCAGAGTATATAAGGCCAATAATTCAATCAATTCTTAAATGACTTCAGCGCCGGTAATGAAAACAAGTGAAATATATTAAAAACTGTAATATTTGAGCCCGTTTTAAATCATATAGGACATGCAATAATGTGATGCATTAATCCGACATTATAATATTTTAGAGATTTGAAATGTAGAACGGGTCGTTTAAAAAGTCCTCTACTTTTTTTTGTCGAATTATAATTTCTGGCGCTGAAGTCTTTTATAGTATGACCGGAACAAGTCGATGATTATCCTTATCTACGATTATACAGACCTACACGGATTGTGAGTTGCTTGTGGCGCCTTGATGCAACTATTCGTGTTCCATGGATGGGCTTGTTGTATATGTTCAAAATTGAAGGCACTATCGCTTTTCTCATTTCTTCAGAAATGTGCCAGTTTGCTGTCTAAAATTAATCTTATAACTTTTACTCTGAGTATTTTAATTTTCAATATTTTTTCAATTTGTGAGATAAACTAATTAGAAAATAAGGTTAAGTGGACAAAAAAGCAACATTTAGTAGTGTGCATTTCTTTCTTTTAAACTGGAAACAAACCGTGCGTCCTGTACATAACTGTGCTTTTGAAGTGAGAGTACACTCTGTTTTTACCTCCATTAAGTTTTTGAGAGACGAGCTTAGCTTTGTGGACTTTTGAGCATTCATTGAATTCTGGATGTAGAGCTGAAAGCGACGATTTCATTGGAATTTGTTTAACCATGGTAACGACTTGGCACTTAATAACGAAACATGTGATAATCAAAGTGAAATATGACTTCCTACACTATCCGCGTATCTCGCACCCTGTGACGAATAAACCTCATGCGCTATAAAGGGAGCCTTGTCCTGAATTTAACCATATCTGTGGAGACTCTAACAGGTTGGCAATACTGTTTACCAGTCATTAAAAATCATTTAAAATATCGATTTTTTGACATTAATTTAAATGCAGAAATAACATCGTTGCCAACTTGCAAGAATCACCAGTGAGGCTTACGTCACACCGTCCGTTGAAGGATCCGAGAAATCGCGTCAAAAAAAAGCGTTGATAAAATTTCTGACGAATAGCATCTAAGAAATAGTCTCCCCTCCCCACACATCAGAACTTTGAACCCATAATGACATTTACTGTTAAATTATTAATTTCATGAAACGCAAAATAAGTTGTTTAAATGTACGAGGTATAGGAAATGGAAACCCTCTTTGCACTATTTTAAAAAAAATGTAAATGAAACTCACGTTAAGCGAAAATCATTAAAAAATTGGCATTACAATATTATTAAATTCTAAAATCACACATATTGGCGCTGAATACATAATGCAGAATGTGTAACATAAAAACTGAAATTTTCGTTCACATCTTTTGTTGAAGTTTATGAAGACAAGGTAGTAAACAAATTGTAAAAGTGCAATGTGACATTTTTGCGTGAAAATGAACAAAAAAGGTTTCCCCAAGTCGGAAATTTAAGATGTCAGTTTATTTAAGATGTTTTTCGCAGAATTTACGAATCGTTTACATTTTTGTTAAAAGTCAAAGCTATTAGAGTTGTTGCAAAAGAACAAGTTTTTTCCAAAAAAAAAAATTCAACTACTGCGATAACATTCTGAAGTTATAAATCTGTTTACACACTATAAAAATAAAAGAAAATATTGATAAAGCAGAGGCTAAAAAACGCAAGTTAATGGAAGATATTATATAGGATACCGACAGTAAAACTGAGGCTATTAACTCAAGCTTGAGTCGACTTTTTCACACACCGACGCTTCGGAATAATTAGATTTTCATTGATGTGCACGTTCTGAAAAATGAGAACAATAAAAACGTTTTCATCTTACCATTACCTTTATAACGTAGTCCCATAAAAGAAAATAAAAGTTATTCGTTCGAGTGGTTTCGAATGAAACTTGTGTGTGTCAATACAAAAAGGGTAGAGGGAGGTTTCTTGAGGGATCTTTGATCCAGCGATGCAAAGTCTTATAAAACTTTATGAAATACTTTTTTTAAAAAAAATTCTGCAATAAACTCAGCATACCACGAAACACATAAAGCGGTTGAAGTTTTATTTCAGAATTTCGCGAAAAAAATAATCATCATCACAAATTTTGAATTTTTTCAACGAATCCTCGGATAATTGCGTGTTGCGTGTACGCACAACACAGCCCCTGAAAAATCTTCAAAAAACGGAAAATAAAAATTTCACATTTCAGCAAAATGAATTATAATTTTTCATCGCAGCTCTGGTTTGAATAGACTGTGTTGGTATAGCATCAAAAGGGGTGCGTCAAGAAAGGAACATGTTCTTCAATACTTCGATCATTTTCGAAATGCTTTCAAAAATACCGTTCAACTCCGCTGCGGACATTCTATCAAGCATCTCCTTGGACCTATCACCGATCCAAACATTCCTGGCTCGTCCAATAGCCGGGGGCAAACTCTGGCTGGAGGCGGTGGCGCCGACCAAAGGCGATCTCCTCATCCTGCACCGCATGTTCCGCGTATGCAACGTGGGAGCCCTCGTCTTCGTTGTTCTGTTCCTGGTGATCCGTTTGCCGAAGTTCTCGCACATCTACCGTCTGGTGCGCTTCATTCGGCTGGCCCGCGTCATCCGCATCGTCAACTTCATCCGCGGTTTGTCATCGACGGTGATGAGCTTCTCCAAGCTCCGTCGGATCGTCCGCTTCATCAGGAGAGCCCGGACGGTCGATCTCTTCCCACTTGTTCTCGCCATCGTCGTCATGGTCTTCCTCTGTTCCATCTCCACCCTCTGCTGTAACAGCCTCTACGGACCGCGAGCTCGCTGTTTCGCCTGCTACGCCTTGTTTGTTAGCTTCGCCACCTTCGCTTTTCTCTGGGGCTGTTTCCGGAAGTCGCCAACCCCACGATCGCATCCACCCCCACCACGCTCGTCCACTCCTCCGTCGACAAGGGATACGAATCCACCGAGGGGTTCATCGTGAGAGTCGTATCCCTAAAGACAAAGTTACATAGAAATGAAATTTTGAAAAGTGGTAAAAACTACGGACTACAATGTGCAGTAAGGATGTAATATTTTAAGCTCATTTTAGAAATAACGTATGCGTTGTTAATGTTTATATCAGGAAAAAGTTTTTCTCCTGATATTTTAATTTAAATTTGAATAATGACTTCTCAATTTGGGACAAAGTTTGTACAAATAAATTCATTGCACCCAAATTGTTTTACATCTTTTTTTCATCGCGTGTCTATAGTCGAACTATTTGATTAAATATTAAAATGAGAGTTTACCTGCAGATACAAAAACTTAATATTTAAATATGAATCGAT